CAAAGAAATATGACCTCCAACAATGAACTATGGCTCTGATACCAGTTTATGTTGGGATAACCACACTAACACGCTGGTTAGTGACAGCGAAAGCGACTTAAATTCACCCAAAGTGAATCAGCCCAGGTCGTCACCTATCCACGGAAGGAAACAAATGCATATGGAGGAAATAACAAGTAGTTGGAACTGGTCCCAATCAGTTCCAGTCAATCTCAGGCAAGTTGTAGGCAAGTTTCAGCACATCACCATCAGTTGCAACTGAGTGCGGCGAGTTGCAACTGGTTCCAGCACTTATAAGTCAGTCACTTATAAGTCAGTCACAACTGGTTTCAATAAGAAACGACCAGTTGCAAGCAGAATCACAGCAAACAACAAGACACCAGATTTAACGTGGAAAACCCCTAAATCGGGGTAAAAACCACGGACCAAGCCTGCCAAATCTTCTTCCAATTATATGTTTGTGGGATTACAATAAGTTCATCTCTAGGTGCAACTAGAGGCTCTCAAACATCAAGATTCGTCAGATCTTGGCTAAACACAACAAGATTTGGGGCTGCTACAGAGGGGATAGAAAGACATCACCAAATAAAGGTGGAACACCGATTAGAGATAGCAAGGTTGTGGATCTGAAGCTTTACGACCTTGTGGACAAATCTCTCTTGATCTATTGAAATATCTCATCTCTAATCTCACTCTCTCCCTCTCTTTTTCTTCTCTGGTTTTCTTCCCTCTCTCACACGCTAGGAGCAAAGGGGCTGCTGCTCTCTCTCTGTTGTTCACTCACACACAAGGAGTGCTATCCTGATCTGGATCTGAGCTCTAGACTCATCTCTTCTCTTCACGAAGAGGCAAGCTGAAGTACTACTACTTCCTTCTCCTGTAAGCCAAGAGGCAAACACTAGATGCACACAAAGGTTGTCCACACACTTGTGCTGCACCTATGACATGTGGGGCTGCTCTCAAGGAGCATTTACTTCTCCTCAACTGCCCACTCATGAGGAGGATTCCCAACAAGGTGGCAGGGCGATCGCGTGGCTGGTGACGGGGTTGCGCAGCGTGATGCTGAGGTCGGCGGCTCGGCGCCGATGAGTGCTAACCAGCCGTGGCCGGCGCCGAAGCAGCGCGCGCGATCCGGCCCCCGCCCGGACCCGGCGCTGGTGGTGATGCTCAGAGGCAGCTTGCTGTCGGTGGGCAACGACAGGACGGAGAAAACCGCCGCCGCTGCTGCTGCCCTGTTCGGCGGCGTACGCAGCGGCCATTCCGTCGTCAACGTCGTCGTCGTCGTCGTCGGGCTGGAGGAGGATCCACGGCAGTGGCTCGGCAGGCACCGCGGCTCTCCACGCTGATCGAGCACACGGCGCGCATCCGCGGGCGGCACTCGGGAGCAACACGTCCGGCGATGCAGCGGACGACGTCGCCGGGCAGGTCGGCCATGTTGCCGCTCGTCGCGGACATCAACATTGCACGGTGCTGACACGATAGATCGATACCCCTGCGCGTTCACGTTCGTTCATGGATGTCGTTGCCTATTGTCTGTGCGTCGGAATTCGTGCCGGAATTCGTGTCATGCCACCATGGGGTTAGTACGTATTGCACAAAGTTGAGCTTGCTAAGGGATCATACATTTATTACTTATCTAAACAAAAAGAGATAGTCCGTTACTAGGGGTCAGTACTTACTGCAAAAGCTAGGTTGAGGTACAAGATAATCCACTACTGATATATGATGATTTTGAAACAGCAAAAGCATAGTATATGTAAGAGAGAGTCAATGGTAAATTTGGATAGAAATAATGCCATTCTCACACCTAAAGTGTACCACTAAGTACTAATAGCGTCACCCCTGATGGTAAATTTGGGTAGAAGTGATGATTCAATGCACTACACCATGTGAGGTCTGAGTACAGCACAACTAATTCTCAGAGTTGAATATGGCATTAAAATCATTGAGATGAGGCATACATGAAAGAACTGATGTGAGATACAAAATTAAATTAGAAATAAAAGATTATGCTACATCAAATCAAGTATTAGTTTTTCGTAGAACAATCAGTTAAAAAAGCAATGCAACAGTACAGTTCCTATAATTAGATAGTACAATGTTTCTATGGTATTCCTGTGACACAGATAATGCAAAGCTTGCTTTGTCGTAAATTAGATAGTACAAAGCTTTCTATGGTGCGCACTCTACACCGGCCACGACCAAGACCCGCTACAGCTATTGTCGGCTTTCTTCCGGCTGGTCATAGTCTACAACCGTCCTAGCTTCACGGCGATGCGGTCCTACTCGTCGGACACCCAGCGCTGGAACACGGAGGTTAGAAGGTCGGGCCCAAAGATGGCGAGCCACGAACCACGCGAGAGCTTGGCCAGAGCATCGTGATCCGCGGCGTGGCCTATTGGCATATGAGACACACGACTTTCGCGGTGCGGCTTGACACGCCGGAGCCTGCCGAGGTGCCCATGCCACGGACCGGCTTATGGAACTTACGCCCGGGCTAGGGAGTGCTCGGCTTGGATTCCCATGGCAAGCTTATATTCATGGATGTTGGACTTGGTTCAGATCATCCAGCTCGTTCAGAATACTACCTTGCCGTGAGGACAATCAAAGTCTTTTGTCCCAGCACCTGCACCGGGGATGAGGATGACGATGATGGTGGCCACGGCAAGTGGGAGTGGACGAAGAAAGTCGAAATCAAAATGCCATACATCAGAATGAAACAGCTCAAGTTACCGTGTCTTGACAAGGTTAAATTTTGGTGGTTCTATGAGAAGCACTACCACAAAATGGAATACCCTTGAGGGTCACCAATTTCCTTGAGGGGCGAGTTTAAACACTCAAGGAATATATATTATCTTGGCGGTCCCTAAAACCCCCCCTAAGGAAATGCATATTTCTTGAGTGTTATTTCATTCGCTCAAGGAAAATGTGTGTTTTGCTTGAGTGTATTTGGAAACACTCAAGGAAGTGCTTGTTTCCTTGAGCGCCAACCCTCAAGTAATATTATTTCACTTTGCCGCGCATTGAAATTGGGCAAAAAAAATAAGGCGCCAAACTTTCATTCGATTCGCGCGCTGCAATTTGGCCTAGCTAAAAAGAAAAGCCCAACACTGGCCTGTTTAACTATCCACCGCACACACGTACTGCCTGGTGCCGGCCAACCCTATCCACTCGCCCCCTCCGCGTCTCCCGAATTGACTCCTGCGGGGGCGGCGGGCAGCGTCCGTGCGCAGGCCGCGGCTCCTCCGGCGGCTCCTGCGAGGGCGGGCGGGCGGCGGCTCCTCCGGCGGTTCCGGCGCGGGCGGGCGGGCGGCGGTTCCTGCGCAGCTGCGCTCAAGTCGTGGAGTGCTCGGTGCCGACCTGGACTACGCCGCCACTGTCGACGAGGTGAGCCCCAGCGCCGACCTGCCCTAGCTCTCGTCTGTCGACTTTCGATCCCAATCCCTCGATGCTGACACGGTAACGTCTGATGCCGACGCTAGACGCGCTAGCTGCAGCCCGCTAGTCGCCAGCGCCCCTGCCGTGGTGCCGCCGGCCGACTGCCGGCGCCCCTACCTTGGCGACTTGGCCCTTGATGGCTTAGTGCAAGCGCAGGGCTGCTGCTAGCTTAGTGCAGGCGCAGGGCTGCTACTAACTGTCGGCCGCTGGCGCCCCTTGCTGCCTGGCTTGCTGCGTGCTGTTGACATGCCTAGGCCATCGAGAGAAGACCTTGACATTGTTGGATTTAATTTCAGTTTTGGTTCAAAACTAGTGGCATTGTTGGATTCAATTTCAGATAAGCTACAAATTTAGTGTTTTTTTTTTGTGAGTACATATCTTGTGTAGATCTGAAAAATGTTATTTTTATGGTAGCAATGGTCTATATATTTAGGATTGGAATTTGTGAACTAAAATATTTATGTGATATAAAACACATGGGTTCTCTGAATTGTTGGGTTGCACAGCACTTTATATCATTGCTTTTTTATTTTAGAACACTTTAGATCATTGCTGAGTTAAGGAACTGGACTTTTTTTTTTTCTGCAGTTAACAACCATAGCTAAATAGATTGTTGTACCTTTTTTCAGGTTTGATCTGAGTAGCTTGTGCCTTTTGCTTGGCTGGTAAGCTCCCTTCATTGCCCATTTGAATGGTGAATGTCATTCATTTATAGCTTCCTCCTATGTAAGAATCTGATTGTCTCTAGCAAATTTGTAGGTATGAATTGAGGATCTGTGAAGGCAACGATCTGTGTACCGTGTAACAATACCAACATCGACCGGTTTCAAACAACAAAGCAGTAAGTATCATCAATTGTGCATTTGATTGAGATGGCATTTTTGTGTTATACATTAAGTCGAATGTATCTGTTTGTAAGCTGTATGCTTCATTATATCGTTTTTTGTGCCATTAACTACAATGCCTCTATTGGTTGATTGTTGTGCCAATTTGTTGTGAAACTAAAATATATCATCCTGTTCATATTCTCTCATAAACAGATTTAGAGTCATGGCAGATCGTGAATGGATGTATAGTGGTTGGTCTCGTGGGGACCTCTCTTTTTTTTTTTTTTGATAAAGGAAGCTTTTATCACATGAAACAACCGCAAAGTTGATGCAGTCTCACAAGCGGTCCACATCAAATAAGATGGTGCACCCATGTGATGGGGAAGCATGGCAACAATTTGATGAAGACTTTCCTAAATTTGCTTTTGATCCTAGAAATGTCCGCCTTGCTGTGGCTACAGATGGCTTTACACCCTTTAGTATAAATGCAGCTCCTTATTCTTGCTAGCCAGTTTTTGTGACACCATTGAATCTTCCTCCCGGCATTATCATGAAGTCAGAGTACATATTCCTTGCCCTTGTAGTCCCAGGTCTTGCTGGCCACTTTATTGAATTTGTTTGTGCAATTCATATTCTATATTTCGATCTCAATTCATTTAGAGAATTAATATTGTTTGGTGTCAGAATGCCAATATGAGTTGCAGCAGTGAACAAGTGGATTCTTGTTGATTAAAAATGCCATTCTTAGGTTTTATGTTCATGGTAAGGTAGTGAAGAAAAGCTGCAGATGCCTATTTTTTAGGGTTCTCATCTAATTGGTTGTCAGCAAAACAGCCCTGATCAGTTAGTTGATAGTTTACAGTAGGCTCTTAGAGATTGAAGATCAAACTTTTTTGTTCCAGAATTGTACAAAATATTTCCATATTGCCTTTTGCAGGCTACTGGGTCACATGGAGGCTCTCATTCAGTTGATGAAAGGCGCAGCAACCACAATGCTAATGACGAAGACGACGACGATGACTACAGCTACCATGAAAGCTATGATGATGATTGCAGCTACCATGAAGACAACGATCATGTCCAGTACTCCAATGAAAACGATGATGATGACCACTCCATTGACAAGGTTGATGACGATGGCTGCTCCCAAAGCGATGATGATCACCACTCTTCTGAACAGTGACTGTGCATGCATCCAAACTAATTCCAACAACTAAGTAACTGCACAATGGGATGTGGACTTTCTTTTGGGTTTATTGACCGGTAGGAACTAAGATGATATTAGGCTGATCTTTTGCTAAGTACAATATTGCCTTAGGAAGTGTGTGTAGTATCTGCCTTGTGTAGTTGTGTATGTGCTGCTGTCCTGCTGACATGTAGGATGATACACTATTGCTAGCTAAGTCTTATATTTGCAAAATGGACATGTAATGAACCGATGGATATTGGATGTGTTATGTAATCTATCACTGGTTTAGTTTAATTGTGGCCTCTTTTCTGATATTTGTTTTGGTCTCTTTTTATCATGAATGATCAATATTTTCTTGGCCAATTAAGCCCCTGTAGCATGCATTACCTTGAGGGTTAGCTGCCAAGGAAACACAAATTCCTTGGGGGTCAAAACACTCAAGGAAAATTGCTCTTTCCTTGAGGGTGTCATCACACAGGTAAAATTAGTTTTTTTGATGGTTCATTTGTAATACCTTGGCGGTTCTAACTCTCAAGAAAATATGTATGCTTGGGGGCTCAGCTATTTCCTTGGCGGTTACAAACCCTCAAGAAAGTATATCCTTGGGGGCCATCTATATACCTTGGGGGTCATCAACCCTCAAGAAAATCCATATCCTTTGAGTATTGTTACTTTTCTTGGCGGTGTTAAAAATCTGACGGGTTATTTGTTTCCTTGGCGGATGAACGCTCAAGGAAACGATTTATGGCGGCCGGCACTCAAGTTAATAGGTGTTTCCCTGTCCCTCTACCCTTGGCGGCCATTCTTTGAGTGTTGGCCGACACGATTTATTTCCTTGGCGGTTTGGGGGCTTTCCTTGAAAAAACCCTCAAGGGTATTCAGTTCTGTGGTAGTGAAGAGCGGCAATCTTATCTTTACCCTCGACGAAGGCACCAGTAGTCCAGGAGCCTTTGTACTCAATATGGCTACAGAGCATGTCAAGAAGGTGGCCGATGGCCTCGACTGTGATTCGTGGAAGTACTTGGTCGGGTACGAAATGGATGAGGCTGCATACCTCGCATCCATTTCATGCCGCCCACTGTTGACATCCCTAACACTATCACCTCACCCAAAGAGTAACAGCGCCAGAGGTGCCTTAGGTATTTTAATTAGCTAGCCACTTGAGATCTATATAAGCCACCTATTGGTTACCTAAACTTCTAACCTGCTTTACTAGGTTGTCATCCCTGGTGTTGAAACTAAAAGTTATATATTGTAGGCTCTATCTAGTAATAGCACTAAGTAATCTATCATTTTATGTGACTTAAGGAATAAGATAAGAAAAAGAATGTATCCGCAAACGCAGAGATAACTTATACCATTGTAGCATTTTATCCAAGAGTAATCCAGGGGTCGAATTTATATTTTTACCCATGGGAAGATCTAGCTAGAGGATCATAAACATATATATATATACTTTTGATCTTCGGAATTCCTATTAGTATGCCCTCTTTCTGTAGCCAGGCCAGTCTGACTCGCCACACCCAACCAGGACACTCGGCTGGTACAGTAACAGCAACATGCAAACCGAGTTACCGGAGCCATGATCATTAAGGGTGCTTCTAGCGCTCGGACGTCCGATGGATCTGGCTCCCATCGGACGCCATGACTCCGCCCCGCCCAGCACGGAGGGAGGTCTTGCTCCGCTTCCGCGCTACCAATGCCCCCCGCACGCGCCGATCTGCTCCCTGAACTACCCCCGCCCCCCTCCCCCCACGCGTACGGATTCGCCCCCGCCCCCGCCTCCAACATAGCCAGCCCTGATGAAAACAACGAAAAAATGCAAATCTAGTGAAACAACGAACAAAATCTACTGCAACAAATCAAAAGCATCAACTGAAACAACGAAAAAATGCTGCAACAAAAAAAAAGCTATTGCAAACAACAAAAATAAAATTTTAATGCAACAAAACTGAAATAAAAATTGAAACAAACGAAACAAATGGTGCAAACAACGAAAAAATATATTGCAACAACGAAAAAGAACATCTACTGCAACAAAACAAGAATTACTACTGCAACAACCACGAAACATCTATTGCAACAACCCAAAAAGGGGAGAGGAGTACAAAACTTGAAAGAGCATCTATGCAACAACACAAAAACTGCTACTGCAACAACGCGAAAACGTTTGTTGAAACAACCCAAATAAGGAGGCAGGATCTAGGCCTGGATCCGTCGTCGCCGACTGCTTTGGCCAGGCTTGTGGAGGGCCTCGCCACTGCCACAGTTGCTCTACTTGGCGGCACTCGCCAGCACCGTTGTCGCCTCCCCGAACGTCGGGGTGGTGGAGGTCCTCGCTGTTGCTCCGCCCATCGAGGCTGCCTAGAGAGCCTTGCCGCCGCCGCCGTTGCTCCGCTCGTCGAGATGGTGGAGGTGCTCGCCGTCTCCACTGCTCACATCTGGGGCTCTAGAGGCGCTCGCCGGGAGAGGACGCGGTGTGCGCGAGGCGGAGGGCGCTAGCCCATGGCGGTGGCGGGGGATGACGAGGCAAGCACGAGCACCGCTTTGGCCCATGCTGGCATGGTGGCACGGCAGGCGTGGAGAGCTCAGGGCAGCGAGAGCGGCGGCCTGGGCTGGGGGAGCAGCGGAGGAGCAGCCTTGTTTAGATGAGAGCAGGAATGAGATTTGTGTCGACTGTTGGGGTTTGTCAATTATTTTCCAATCCTCTGCGATAAAGAATGGGAGAGGAGTGGGTGGACGAGGAAGATGATAATTAGTTATTTTTTTATCTACATTTAATCCCATGATTTGGTGTGGGAAAAAGATTTGACATCGATGAAGAAAAGAGTGAAAACTTAGAACTAAATGCTGGCCCGGATGAGATTCCGTGATTGTTGGGGTTGAGCTCTGCGGGATAAAGAGTCTGAGACGGAGTGGGTGGACGAGGAAGATGATAGGGATAAGGACCGGAGAGATGTGGCTAGGAATGAGCGGTGCGGGCGGCCGAGTCTGAGACGGACAGGTCCGTCCGATGCTGTAGGACGTCAAATGTATTCAATTTGTATAGGCCAAACTTCTCCAGGAGTCGTTCCTGGCCGGAACGACCAGAAACGAACGAGGCCTAATTGAAAATAAATACACCACGCTGCTGTCAGGCATCAATTAGCGGACAGTAATTTTGGGTTGTGGACCGTGTGCATCCGTGCATGTGCTACTGGACGTGCATGCAAGTGTTGAACGTGTCACTAGAATACTATGGTAAATACATTACGAGACTATGGTAAATAATATTTTAAAAGTAACTGTATTTACTGGAATTTGAGTTGCTTGAGATGGTAACTAGGATAGAGTTACTAAATTTGGCATTATGGTGTTTTGAGTAATTATTTATTATTTACTATAATAACTACTCGTAGATGAATTATCATCACATACTGACAAGAAAATGAACTTACTAGAAAATGAAAACGGCAATGGTGACAAAGTTACTATAAAATATCAATGAAAATTTACTATAATACATTTACTACAATGGTACAACAATGCTGTGACTAGCGTTCGAACCAACGATGGTAACACTGATTACTTCCCGATTAGAATAGGGCTTCATCAAGGGTCAGCCTTGAGCCCGTATCTCTTTGCCTTGGTAATGGACGAAGTTACCAGCGACATTCAAGGGGATATCCCTTAGTGCATGCTTTTCACCGATGATGTAGTGTTAGTTGATGAAAGCCTAGCGGGAGTAAATAAGAAACTTGAGTTGTGACGGCAGACCCTTGAGTCTAAAGGTTTTAGACTAAGCCGGACTAAAACCGAATACATGAAATGCGACTTTGGCACAACTGCACAGGATGAGGGAGATGTGAGTTTGGAAGGTCAAGTTGTGCCTAAAAAGGACACGTTCCGATATCTGGGATCGATGCTACAGAAGGATGGATATATTGATGTAGACGTTAGCCATAGAATCAAAGTAGGGTGGATCAAGTGGCGTCAAGCTTCTGGCATTCTATGTGACAAGAGGGTACCCAAAAGCTAAAAGGCAAGTTCTATAGGACGGCAGTTAGACCTGCAATGTTGTATGGAGCCGAATGTTGGCCTACAAAAGCTCGGCATGTTCAACAAATGAGTGTTGCAGAAATACGTATGTTGCGTTGGATTTGTGGTCACACAAGAATGGACCGAGTTCAGAATGATGATATACGTGATCGTCTAGGGGTAGCACCAATTGAAGAAAAGTTTGTCCAACATCGGTTGAGATGGTTTGGCCATGTCCAGAGGAGACCGCCAGATGCACCAGTGCGTTGTGGAGTTCCAAGCCAAGCTAATAATATAAGGAGAGGCAGAGGAAGGTCGAAGTTGACATGGGCGGAGGCGGTAAAAAGGGATTTAAAAGTTTGGGATATATCTAAAGATCTATGTTTGATAGGATTGCTGGAAAGCAGCTATCGAAGTGTCGGAACCGTGACTTGGGTATCTTGTTGTGTTTCAACTCTAGTCTACCCCAATTTGCTTGGGATTAACAGGCTATGTTGATGTTGATGTTTCTTTTTTGAATGAGCACCATCGCAACACATTTTTTATCATCAATTTTGACGGATCATCTTCAGGTTCAAACACAAAGTTGCATCCATGGTCGATCCACAAACAGAGTTTTTACACACAAAAAAAGATGCATTTGTGCATCAAAATTAAACAGACACGTGAGTACATGAAGGCCTTCATATTTGTTCAGATCCGCAAAAATCAATAACAAAACGCCATTACAAGAATCTAATACAACATCCATTATTCAGACGAGTTGCTTGAGAGAAGAAGCTCCTCCATTGACCAAAGCATCTGGAACCGTGCACTCCGTCAAAGGCCTTCCAACCATTCAGGCTGTCACTGGTATGGATGGCAACGAAAATTTAACAAATCAACAAATAAACAGGAGAAGGATTCAGGATCTGCATGGGGATGTCTACACTAACCGGAGGAGAGGACACGGTCTCTCTATCACAGATCCACCATCA